TCTGTTCACGACTAACATCATATACTACTTGTGTCTACATAAGTAGCACACACCACAATTTTAGGCTTCTCGATGAACTATTCATCTTTAGATCACTTTGTTGAAAACCAATTGGGTCCATATTCCACTTGAAATCAATTTGGGTTTAGTGGAGTGTAACTATGTAGAAAATTTGGCAGTAGTTATATACCAATCAGATAGGATGGTTGTCGGATTGTCACGAATCAACTGAAATCGGAAATATGGATTCATTAAACTAATGATTTCGCGCCAACTCGGTGTTCCCTACTAAGGTGACCTTCAATGACCCCTTAATTACATGATAAAAAAATACTATGGGAAATTTCGTCCTCATGTTTTTCCTGTTTATGATACACTAAAGCCAGTCAGTTATACGCAAAGTAGAACCTGATACATATGTACATCGGTTCCAATTTCCATACTTCATGAGCACAAAGTGATGAAATTATCAAGTAAAAAATCCCAGAACAATAGAGGTAGTAACAGTATTATTGCTAAGAAGAAAGATTAGACGTCGAAAATGCTATTTGAGAAGAAAATATAAATGAGTGAAATAGTAGAAAAAGTTATGAGGAATTTAAAATCTTCGAATATAAAGGAATAAAAGGAGTGAATGCATTGACTTCATTGTGAACGATTTTGAACTATGTGACCCAAAGTCTTTAATCATGCAAACTGCAACGACGTAACCTGCACAGATCTATCTATATGGCTCGGTTCAATAGTTAGCGCCTTCATAAAATGGTGTCATATCTTGGTTTGTCCTCCTCTAACATTCTTCCAACCTACTTCTACACCAGATAACGTCGTGTGTCGATGTAGGTGATGAATTGATTGGCACATGTAATACATGTCCTAACCATCTCAGTCGATGAATATTCACTACTTCTTCAATCGATTAACCATACTTATCTAGTACTGTGCGTCTAATTTCAGGGCTGTTAACTTGATAGTTCTAATATATATGAACAATCGTTTGAGAGCATCTATGATTGAATACTTATAACTTCCAAATATCCTCTATTTATAAGAGCCACGTTTCACAGCCATTGAATGAATATTTACTTTGTTTTTTCGATTTTACAGGGTACATTCCAACAAATGTGGATATCTAGTCAAGAATATAACGAATTAGGCAAAGGATGTGTGGATAAAAAGTGTGCTTAGGAATAACATATATTTATTGATAAAATTCTTTTCTTTTTTACCCATCCTACATGTATTTTACTTACTCGCTTTCACTCCCACGCACTGTGTGTGTGTGTGAGGGTCTATTAACATGTATAATACAAGTGTAATCTGCATTTCTTTGTAATATATGTTTACGTATTATCTGTCTTTTCTGTGTTGACCTCTTCAACGGAGTTTAGTTCGACTTATCACGAGTAGTTGTACTCTAAGTGTATTCTTTGCATTTTGTTAGTAGAATTATAGACTTACCTATGTTATGGCAGCTTAGGTTGCCCCCAAATGCCCTGGTATGGTCGAGAGTGGGGTGGGCCCTCCCTCCCTGTGGAAATGCTCTCATACAGCCACGCGTATACAGACTCTGCCAGAGAAGTCCTACTCACTGCCTTCTCGCACTACGGGTGTTGTTTACGAAAATGAGAGAACGAAAAGCTAATGTTCGGCGCTTTAACCAGGTCCCAAACCAATAGCGCACATGGGCTGGCTCCAGTATCCTGCGGGAACAAATGGCTTATGAACAAATCGTTGGTCATCGGCTACCATGGGACTGCATCTCCTCACGATGCTCCACTGCCTTGTGGGTATAGACCTTTAGGTCAAAGGCTCGGGGTGTGGCCCTCTAAGAAAACCACCTGGTTCGGTCTGGGCACCCGATCAGTATCACAGCCCGCGCACAAATAAAATGAAAATTCGTGTGGCGCATATGTATTTGGTGCCTCCTTGTACCAATATATATGTGTTCAAATTAAATACAACTTAGGTCAATTTAGATCTGTCCCAGGCTCTGTATTGATAATGATTGATACAGTTATGCTTCAGTATGAAAACAATCTACTTTAATATTCTAAGTTACAGGTTCAAACTGCCATCTCCACCTACTTAGTTTAGGTCAGATAAGTAGTGTTTCTATAAATGTGATTTAAACTCGCGTATGTGATTTATCTGTGTTCGAATACTGATAAGCAGAGATGGATGATGGCTAGTAGTGGATCTCAGGACATGCGTTTCGTCCTATTTGGGACCCGTCAGATGAATATACATTCATCCCAGAGTTTATGTTTACTCCGGAACTGGAACTCATTACAAATGAATTCGAATAGAGTTGTGTCAAATTTTAAGCTAATCATCTTTTCCGAACAGACTTGACGTTTCTTTTATCACCGATATACATACTTAACCAACTGAAGATATTATACAGAACGTAAGCTGTGCTTGATATGTCTGTGCATTGAACCACATTTTCTTTCAATAATGAGTTATGTTCAATGAAATTTAAGGGTATTTGTTCATTCGGCTGGATGCGTTTAATTGCGAAGATTCATTTGTAGTTCCATGCATTATCTCAGCTGTTCTACTTCGTGTGTAAAAGTGAGGAATTAAGAAGATTACTTCTATGTAATTTAGGTGCTGATAAGATTTTGTCCAGAGCATCAATAAACGATTTGCGATTAAACGTTTTAACTCAGAGAACATATCAGCAGTAAAAGTATCTATCTGTGCTGCAAATTCTTCGTCATTACAGTATGTCTTCTTCAGCTACACCTAAAACATTCATTTTCAAAGCTGTACATTTGTATATATATGTATTTCTTAAATTGAAAGTCTCTTATGAGTGTTGTGTTTAAAGTAGATATTATTAGTAATGCGCTTGAAATGATATTGGATGGTCGATTAGAAAAACTTTCTACGCAACAAATCGTCGTGTAACTTATCATAGTTTCCCTTTTATGCTCTTCTAGATGAAAAGTTAGTTATTTCAACTGACCAATTTTGTATGTATAAGCCAGGTCATCTACTTCTTTGAGGCTAAATACTTAGGTTGTTTGTCTTAGCTACTTTACTACATCGAATATCGTCTTTCACCATGAATTGACGAAGAATAGCATATATCGATTGCGTTACTTAGTCTACAATAGTCTCAGATTCATCCTTTTATAATATTTCGAGATTCAGTCAAATATGTTGAAGGATTCACGACTAAATTTACTTTTGCGTTGCAGGAGCTCTAATTATTCTGTAACAGACGTGTATGATAATTGTCACATTAACTACGTTTGATGTAACACAACTACAAATCAAAAAGTACTGGGAATTGTTTCGTCATAATATGTTATTCCATAGAAATGCTTCTTTACAAACTCAAGAATCACACCTCAAACTTTGAAATCTTATTGTAGTTAATGTGTAACCTTTTTGATAACTGAATTTACAATCCAAATTCAATTCACTTATGTTTTAGAACGACCAATATCCAATATGATTGAACTCCTAGGTTCAATTAGATGGTGGTTGGAGTTAGTTGACAGGAAACCTTGGACCTGGGTTTCTTGCTACTTAGCACTCGTCAGCAAGGTGTACCTGTAATCTTTGAGGGAACTGGTACTCCCTGACGGATTCGATCACGTGTCACCCAGCTTCACAATCAGAGACGTTACCACAATAGTGTCCGCAGTGTCGAGTCACCTAGACTGGTGGCCATATTGCAACATGATTGATAGCATTCGATCTGCACTAATAATAAGGACTAGACACTCATTATATTGGTCACCACCCTGTGATCAATCAATTGTGATCCTAAATTCAATCCTTATCGCAATTCCATAGAGTCTTATGATAAAATAAAATCGATCAAATTACACCATAACTGTCATGTGATGTGCTCTTTTTGTTAAACTATTTTTTTTTGGGGGGGGGGAACTGTACTCTTGGGAGCTTCTTTTGTTTGTTTGTATTAAAATCTAATTGTTTATTCTTTTCTCTATTTTTTTCTGTTTTGTTTTTGTTTTCGTATATACACACAAGAAGCAGAAAAAGAAAAAAAAACAAAAACAAAAACAAAACAATATTTCTCAAAAAGATTATCATTTCAGAAATGGTACGGATTTATTTGTTATTGTTGTTGTTGTTGTTGTTGTTAAGGGTATAGAAAAGAAAGAAGGTAAGTAGCTCATTTTGTTCTATGATAAAGTAAAAATGTATTTGTGATTGAATAATGTAAACAAGTTGAATATTGAAACATTGAATGATTGATTAAATGCATTAAAAAAAGATTTATTCATTACTAAATGTTCAAGTCAGTCAGTCGGTCAGCTACAACATAGGACCAAGTTACTATACCTCATTAGAACAGTACAATATAACTATGAACTAGTAGATCAAAGAATAGAATACTACTACCACTACTACTACTACTACTACTACTGCTACTTCTTCTGTGTTAATCTCCTGTTCTTTGAAGACAATGAATGAATGATTAGAAAAGAGAGAGAGAAGAAAAGGTGTTAAATTGAGAAATTTAATGATAAATTATTATATATTATAAAAAATAGATTAATTAACTTCGATGGGGTGGGTGGGAGATGTTTGTTTGTGTGTGTGTGTGGTGGTGGGGGTGTTACATAGTTTCTTTTTTTTTATAAATAAGGTAGGATACAAATCAAAATAGGCAAATAGGTAGGATTGAAAAACAAAAGTCTATATTATGATTATTATGATTATTATTATTATTGTTTAAAAGGCAATTGATTGATTAGTTAGGATCTTTCTTCTTTGTTTACTATTAAGATCTAATAGTTACTATGTATGTACAAATTGTCTAGATGGCAATAAATGATGATGATGATCTTGTATATGTGTATACGTTACCATATATATATATATATATTACATATGAATTATACATATTGAGAATAGTGATTGAAATGAACTCTATTTCATATTTTCTTTTTCTTTCTTTTCTTTTTTTTCTTTTTTAAATTGTCTTTTATTTTATTGATTTAATATTGATTGGATTAAGATGATATTGTTTCATGATCTAATGGTACAGTTGTAGTATTACATGTTCCAAGGGTTTCAATGATTCCTGTGAATGTATCAGACATTTGATTTACATAAGACTAATTGATATCCATTTTATATATGTTGATAATATAAAAGAAAAAAAAATTAAAAAAAATCGATTAATATATTTTTTTATTTTTTAAAGTTGAAATATTACAATGATTCAGATCATGAGTCAGTTGAAGCTAGATCACTATGAAAAACCTGGAAGCACTGGACAGTCGTTTCGTCCTATCATAGGACTCCTCAGCAGTGCGCATCCACGACCTCGCCCCTCGGCGAGATTCGAACTGAGGACCATGGAAAAAATATTTAAAAATTAGGTTGTATCTATAATGTTAGTTACTATGTTAAGTTTATTCTAATCTCCGGACAAGCTAATTGATTTATTCTTGTTGATTTATGTTTTAACTTTGTTAATTATTCTCATAAGGGGTTTTTATGGATATATATATAGTAATTTCAATGGTTAACATCATGAGTTAATTGAAGCTAGATCATTATGGAAAAACCTGGAACCAGTGGATGGCTGTTTCATCTTATTGTGGAACTTCTCAGTAGTGTGCATCCATGATCCTGCCTTGTTAATTATTCACTTATTGTTGGGATGATTCAGAAAAATTGTCGTAAAACACGCAAGGATCAGGAAACGTTAAGAAGCATTTCATCCAATCAGCGTTCACTTGGAGTTTTAACTAGAAATGTCAAGTATGTGAAACGTCACATTTAGAGGTTCTGATTGGTTGATTGTTATACCGCTAGTATGTTTAGTAGCATTCCAGAAGCTTCGAGCAACCCAAGGACATTTAGAATATTATAAAACCCTCTGTTTTCTGTATTACAACGAACCTTGGAGTAAGGTACTTTTCGCATACTTTGCGCCTTCTCTCTCGTGTTCAGGTCGCTGTATAGTTCTAACTTGGGGGTTTCAAGAATAGCTTAGGAATCGAGTATAGCGTTCAAATTGCAAGACTTATCACTTATCAACCTTGAATGCTTTTATATAAACATATGTGTGTGTGTTTGTACACTTCTTATCCTATTCATCACATGTCATTAGCTTATTTTTGTGTGACTATAAATATTGATTAACACTTGATTAAATGGAGTTGGCTTATACGCCTTCTCCACTGGACGTTATTTTCACTTCTCTTTCTTCTCTTCGATTCGTCTCACTGATTCTCTGTCCAGATCAATGCGTGTACAAAATATACGCATTCAAAACATCCATTCTCGTTATTTGGCTTATTTATTGTGTTATTTTCCAATGCGAGTTAAGTCGATAATTTTATACTAGGATTAGCGACTTGTAGTGTTTGGTTACCTTGACGAATATCATTAAACTCACGGCCATTTTTGTATTTTTTTGATCTTATTTTCCAATATTTTTCTTTCTGTTTCGTTCATTTAAATGGCTAGTTTTAAATTCGTTATCATTGATTGTTTATTTCTTAAATGTCAATACTGATCGACAGAGCACCTTTTTCTTCAAATTATGGACGATAGTAACGTACAAAGTACAAGCTCTATGGTTTCTCACGTTCTTACAGAAACAGATAACGTATTCTTGAATTACATTGTATTTGGTAGCGTTCTAATCACTTGAAGCGTTAAAGAGCATCATTGGAACTTATGAAAGAGCTACGTACTGCCATTATGCAATGAAAGATTCTCATTTGTGGTAGTAATTTAATAGTTGAATTCAAAAGTCAACTAAAGCTAGACCATCATGGAGAACCCCAAAACACTGGACGGCTGTTTCAGCAGTGCGTATCCACAATTCCGCCCAAACCCAGAACCTATCAGTCTCGCGCGCGAACGCTTCACCTGTAAAACACCGAGTCGGTATCCAATGCTGTTATTGTCCATTCGATCAACCAATCAAAACATGATTTAATTTTATACGGTGATGTGATTGGTTTACAGGAATTGAATGTTTACAGCATGTTACAACCAGTAAAAACACTGAATTTATCATGCACAAATCCTATTGAAATTTAGTGCTTAGATGGTGGTTGGAGGTAGTCGACAGGAAACCCTGGACCCAAGTTTCGTGCTACTTGGTACTCGTCAGCAAGGTGTACCTGTAATCTTGAGGGAACTGGTGCTCTAACTGTGAAGCTGGGTGACACGGCGTCGAATCCTTCAGGGAGCACCAGTTTCCTCAATATTATAGGTACACCTTGCTGATGAGTGCCAAGTAGCACGGAACGCGGGTTAACAAGGTTTTCTGTCGACTACCTCCAACCACCATCTAATCTCACAATAGTGCCCGCAGTGTCGAGTCACCTAGACTGGTGGCTACATTGCAACATGGTCGATTGCATTCGATCTGCACTAATAAAAACTAGACACTCGTGACATTGATCACCACCCAGTGATCAACCAATTGAGAAATTTAGTGCATTAAGAGTAACAATTTTATAATCATACATTGAACATTAGAGTCTAAATTTTATTGATAAATCTTTTTAATTTCGTGTTATTAATATCTATTTAATGAGAAGAGGAATTGAGAATTTCAAATATTATTAGGACTCGGTGGATGAGTGGATAACGTGATGGCGTCTAAAGCGAACAGTATTGGGTTCGAATCCCCGAGAGAATATCAACTCTAAGATGCAGGTAAATCCAGCTGACGAGTCCTAAATAGAACGAAACGTGCGTCTTGAATTCCACAACTAGCCACCATCCATTTTTGTTTATAAAGCTTGTGACTTAAGGCAATATCGAGGCAATACGTACAAGATGCACGAATGCTAACAAGAAACTGATCAATCGCAGTCTTAAACATCAAAGAGAGAATACAAGAAAAACATTACCAAGTGAATGATTAATGTTTACCTGAATTGATGTCATGCACTTTTCAACGCCAACCAAACGTTGAACAAAAATTGTTTGATCAGCTCGAATATGATTTACAGTTTCATAGATGCTAGTTTGTAGCTAGAATAGTTATTCAAGAAGTAATAACAACAAAAGAATTGGATATGGAATAAATTAGATGAAATTAATGTGAAGTAAAAACAATGTATTTTATTTTAACAGTTAAATTCTCGAGTCGATCTATGCTAGATCACCAGTGAAAAGCGATCCTGTACGTCGGACTCGAACCCAGAACATTCAGTTTCGCACTAACGTTTGATCTCTATGGCCACTGAGCCGTCGTTCAACGATGTTAACGTCTAACTTCAATCGATCCATGATCTTGGGCAACCATCCATCCATTATCTTAGGTGGATATTTATCTCCACCATACACGGATCAGACTCCACTGGTCACGGTTTCTCACTTAAACTCCAGGCAGTCCATTAGTGAACGAAACAGCCACCCAGTGCTTTCAGGTTTTCAATAGTGAACTCATGAATTCAACTATTAAAATTTCTATAATCTCTACAATTTCCCATTTTGATAATGTATTTTCTGTTCGCTATTGCTCATAACATACATAGATATGAGTGGTTGAAAAGTTTTTGCTGATCACATTTCTTCATTATTGATAAAACTTTACTTTGTTACAACGGCACAATTGTTTTTATTAAAATTACTGTGACAATTCAGAGGTATAAACTGATACTTTGCTTAGTGAACCAACTTCTCGTATCTCAAATGGGTAGAAATCAGGCGATACTAGTAGTATAATTGATAGAATTGGGACAATCATTTCTGTTGCTATGGTTTATTAAGTGAAGAGATGAAATAATTAAAACATTCATGTTAAGTCCAATGCAGTTATTGTATAAGTTACAATGTAGCTTACTAGTTAGAATAGATCCACATCATATAGAATATGATTTGACTCTAGGTGGTTGGAAGTAGTCAATAGAAAACCCTAGAGACTAAGATTCTTGTCTAGTCATTACTCACCAATAAGAGGTATCTATAATCTTGAGAGGACTGACATGCTGCCACTAAGACATTCTAACCTCTACTAACCTCCTATAAAGCTGATTTGTAAACAATGCCTTATATAATGTAGTTCATATTGAAATGTATCATCACAACAAATTGAAAATAAATGAATAACAACCAATCATAGCGAGACTATAATTTATGAACGAACCAATCAGAGTTAAGATAACTTTTCTCGAATTTTGGCGCGAAATTCACTCATCCATTTGGCAAAATAATGTTTTGACATTTTAACTGATGTCAGTTCGTGATCAAAACCATAAATCTAAAAATACCTAACCCTTAACATCAATTGTAGATCATTATCTTTATTCCTCAAACTGCTTTATAATCTTCATCTAGCCCCAGTAAGTAGGTAGACACTCTGAAGATCACTTAAGTGCCGCTCAAAGGTCATCCATAAATTATAATCTCACCAGAATATAATGATCATCATAAGTGAACATTTGCTTACTTTAGCTAAATCCACCATAGAATTAGCATCTTCTTTCAGTTTACGTTGATTATCTTTTGCTTTTCTTAATCTATTTAAATAAATTATAAAGTTTACAGGAAATATATTTGATAAACAATATTCTGAAATAAATAGTCCAATAGTTAGTCATTACTTGAAGTTGAACATGTTTATATTAATGTACAAAAGTATGATTGAAAAAGTAAAGTTGAGGATAGGTTATCATCTGGTTAGCGTTTTTTTAGTGAGTTAGTTTTTTACGGGATGGGATCGCTAACCATACCCAACCCTCCCCCTTTATCCTGGTTTGGGACTGGCAGTAGCCTCAGAGGGGTTACAGGTTCCAGCATACACCAATCAAATCACACTTGATGGAGAAACTTTGGAAGATGTAAAAACCTTTATACATCTGGGCAGAATCATTGATGAATACGGTGGATCTGATGCAGATGTGAAGGAATGGGTCGGCAAAACAAGAACAGCATATCTACAACTGAAGAACATCTGGAACTCAAAACAATGGGCAACCAATACCAAGGTCAGAATTTTCGATACAAATATCAAGATAGTTCTATTGTATGGGGAGGAAACTTGAAAGACCATGAAAGCCATCATTCAGAAGATACAAGTGTTTATTAACAGTTGTCTGTGTAAAGCACTTCGGATCCATTGTCCAGACAATATCAACAACAACCTACTGTGGGAGAAAACAAACCAGATCCCAGCGGACTAATAAATTAAGAAGACGTGTTGGAAGTGGATAGAACACACAGTGAGGAAAGCACCTAACTGCGTCAAAAGACAAGCCCTCACATGGAATCTTCAAGGCCAAAGGAGGAGAGGATGATCAAAGAACACATTTTTTCGAGAAATGGAGACAGACATGCGAAGGATGAACAACAATGGGATAGAACTAGAAAAGAAGGCCCAGGACAGAGTGTGTTGAGATTTGGTTTGGCTGCATGTATATAGATAATGTATGCCTAAAATACAATGGAGGCTGAGATTTCATTCTGGACTCAACGGACACGTCTAAGCGAGAAGGACCAATAAAGACTGAGAGTTGAAACCAGATTGCTCGTACTAGTTAACGCGTCCTTGGTTTGGCACCGTGCCAAGGTTTTATAAGTTGATGATCTGATTGACAATCTTGTCATGTAATAATTAACAGGGCAAAAGTCATAATATTAGTTGTGCTCATAACTAACAATTTAAATGACTAAGCTGCTGATGTAAAAAAAATAGAGTTATACTTAAACACTACTTTTTCTTCAATTAGTACTTAGTAGTTGGTTGGAGAACGACGAATCCATCACGTGGTTGTCATTGCTTGATTGAATTAAAATACAATCTTACAGTTAACGCTACTCGTTAGCCGAATGGACAGAGAGTTGTAGATTGTTTAGATAGGTCCCGGGTTTAAGTGTTATTGTAAACAATAATACTAGGATGTAGGTATATATAACTGACGAGACCTATATAAGACGGAATACGAGGATCTGGATTCCACTGCTAGTTACATTTCAAAAATGTAAACAAACTTGTAACTGTAGGCAGTCTTTAGACAATCATTCATGATGCACATATATATCAACAGAATGTAACGGAAACATAATCTCGAATATCATAACCAGTGGAAATTATACTATAGTGAATAAGAACACGAATGGGGACAATCGAATGACAGAACATCTCAATAAAATCTAAGAACCATATAGTAAATCGTTAATTTGCAAAATATCAATCCATCATATTAAACTTGAATGTTCCCTTTGCAAACATCAATCGATTGTCTCAGATTTCATTGTTCATACATTTTCATACCAATTGCGTTCTGTTCCCGTTCTTTCATTGTCGAACCTTCTACTGAAATACATTCTATGCCTGACCACCGTTATATACTACTTATGTAGATATAAGTAACCTACACCACAATACAAATCGTTATTAATTGTGATCAGAAATTGATTAAACTATCATGATTGAAATTCATTGTACTTTATAAAAGTAACTAATCTGCGAACAGGTCTAATCTTATGGGATGATTAACCAACAGAGTTAATCTTCCACATAATTTCTAACATGATTCCGACCAATTGTTTTATGTCAGAGAACAAGAACGCAAGTGAGGCCAACGAAATGTATTGGGACGCAACCTTACAGAACAACTTAATAAAATCTGAGAATCATACAGTAAATACTTCAATTCTTTTTTGATTAACATCATGAATCGACTGATGTTAGACCGCCGTGACCAGTGGAGCTAATCCGTGTCGGGTAGAGACAGGTATCTACCTCAGTACAATGGAAGATGGTCACGCAATTTTGTGGATTGGTTAAGGTTAGACACTAATACGATTGAATGCCAGCTCAGTGGTCGAGTAAGTTAAGTGTTCGCGCGCAAGACTGAAGGACCTTAGTTCGGATCCTGCGAGCGGGATCGTGGATGCCCACTGCTGAGGAGTCCCATACTAGGACGAAACGGCCGTCCAGTGCTTCCAGGTTTCCAACGGTGGTCTAACATCAGTCGATTCATGATCTCAATCAAAAACTTAATCATCTCCACAACCTCAATAATGATAATACTTCAATTGTAAAATATCAATCAATCGTATCAGATCTCATGGTTCTTTCATTTCCACATCATTCATTCACTGTTCTCGTTCTCTTTTCTTTCATATTCATCACCTTCTCTCATCAGACGTTTAAACTTTCGATTAATGATATATACTACTTATTTCAGTCGATATCAGTAGTATACATCACTATATTTTAAGACAATAGATAAACTGTTTATTGCTAGTTTTTAATAACTTACCTACTTATTGCTGTTAAAAATTTTCTTTGATGCCTTCTTACTCGACCTGGTTTAACACGTTTTACAAGTCTTGTATATTTGTAAAATAACCAAGTTTCACGTAAAACATTAGCAGCTGAATGTCGAAGCTAATTAAATAATTAATAATAAAATAAAGAGGGTAGATAATAGGAGGATCAAAATAGGAAAGTTTTGAAAGTATTCAACAGTTCCTTTGAAAAACAGATTATGGATATATGAAGGAATCTTTATGGTTTTGTATCATCTGGATGCTATATAGTAACCAATGTACATACTTAGTTTACTTACTTACGTCTGTTACCCCCACGTCCAGGCGCATAGGCTAACCACTAGTATTCTCCATTCAATACTGTCCTAGACAATCCTTTCCAATTACTATTGACTGTTTTCATGTCTGCTTTCAATTCTCAGAGCAGTGTGTTCTTCAGCTTTCCACTTTTCTCTTTCCATTCTGGATTCTAAATTAGCGCTTGCTTCGTGATGCAGTTTGATGATTTCATCAATGTGTATCCTATTCACTTCCAACGTCTTTTCCTAATTTCCTCTTCAAGTGGAAGCTGGTTTGTTCTCTCCCATAGAAGGTTGTTGTTGATGGCATCCGACCAACAAATACTGAGTATCTTGTGTAGATAATTGTTTATAAATGCTTGTACCTACTTGATGGTGATTGTGGTAGTTCTCCACGTTTCAGCTATGTACAGTTGAATTGTCTTGACGTTTGCATTGAGGATTCCGACTTTGATATTGGTTGATAGACAGTTGTTTTGAGTTTCATATGTTCTTCAACTGTAGGAATGAGGCCCTAGATTTGCCAACCCTCGCCTTCACATCAGCATCAGATCCTCCTTATTCATTGATTATGCCGTCCATGTGCTTGAAAGTTTCTACATCTTCCAGAGCTTCTTTATCAAGTGTGGTTGAGTTGGTGTTTTCCATACTGTATTTGAGGACCTTACTCTTTACTTTGTGTATATTGAGGCCTGCTGATGTAGAGGTTGTTGCTACACTAGTTGTCTCCATCTGCATTGGTTGGTGTATATGGGATAAAAGAGCTAGATCATCTGTGAAGTCCAAACCTTCTACTTGATTTCAAGCTTCACAATAGCCAATGTGATATCTATATATTACTAATATTTTAAAATCTACTAACTTAAGCATTTATACTTATTGATCACTAATTTGTAAGGAAATCCATTACTAATTAGTTTCAGTTGGAATACCTTTAAAAATCAGTGAGAAATAGATAGCTATTTTGTTGTAGTGTAGGTCTCTTTAAAACAATCACGATCCTTCTAGGGATTACACTTTGAAACTATGAGTTCATCTACGAGCAATTCATATTTAAAACAAAGCTGGAGAATCTCCGTACTAGGATGACACAGTTGTATAAATAAGCTGTTGTAATGTCGGATTATTATGTTAAGCTCATATACCTTATTCTAGCATTTGGACATCTCAATCTATTCATTCTACTTGAGTCACATTTTGAGCTTGTTAATTATGCACTTATCAATCTTGACTGTTTTTATATGAACGGGTAGGCGTATGTACCTTTCTTATCCCATTACTCACCACATGTCTGTAACTTATTTTTATGTAACTATCAATATTGATCAACGTTTGGTTAAAGGGGAGTTGGCTTATCCTCCATCTACACTGCTCGTCGTTTCGCTTCTCTTTCTATTCTATTCGCTTCTTATACAAAATATATGTATTCAATAATCCATTCTGGTTATTCACGTAACGCGATTTAAGTCAATGATTATATACGACGATAGGCGACATATATATATATATATATATATATATATATATATTTCAATAACAATCATTCATGCGATCTCTTTGAAGTCCGAAATCGAGCCAATAAAGTGGAGAGCCCGCCAACAAACATCATCCGATCTAAATGATGACATAATAAACGGCCTCACAAAACTATGATCTATGATTGTGGAAGAAAGTGAAACCATGGACTAGTTGTTAATTCAATTTACATTCAATTAGTTTATCTAACACTTTAATATCAGTAACATATACTACTGTCTAGCTGACAGAGTAGTATCATTCATCGTTACATATAAGCCATTTAACTTGAAGCTGAATACATAAACAAACATTAGAAATAATAATAATATAAACAATGTATTCAAGGATGTATACATATATATACTTATGAACGTACATTTTTGTAGAATTTATTATCTTGCATAAAATTGTGTACATGTTTCTCAGCTCTTGTTAATTCTAGTTTACGTGCAACAACTGCAACAACCAATGCTGTACATGCAGAGCCCTGTAGAGATATTAGAACAAAAAGAAATGAGAGAAAATAATTAGCAACCAAATTGTAATCAACTATATAAATGGGTTCGAACCCCGTAGGGAGCGAGGTCGTGGATGCGCACTGCTGAGGAGTCCCATAATAGGACAAAACGGCCGTTCAGTGCTTCCAGGTTTTCTATGGTGGTCTAGCTTCAACTGACTCATGATCTTAACCATTGAAATTAATATAAATGAATAGTTAAAATAGTTATTCAATAGATAGATACCATATATTAGCTAAAATCTTATCAAGAATTCAACTGTAGACAATTGGTTGTATATATTTCTTCTTTAATGATAACAACATATGGTTTGCTGAAATACCTACTAAAAGAGATAACTTGAGATCTTGAAGGGAAGAAGAAAAAAACAAGGAGTGGGAAACCAGGGAACATATTTTATCGAGAATTGGAAGCAAACATTTAAAGAATGGATAGTGGCTAAAAGTGGAATCCAGGACTCGGGTTTCGTCCTTATATAAATAAAATAACACCAAGTGAATTTAGGCTTCAACCCATTGCACAAGTAGGTGGCTATCAAGACTCAGTAGGTAAGTGGATAACGCGATGGAGTTTGAAGCGAACGGTTGGAGTCTCGGAGTGAATATTGACTCTGGAATGCAGGTACATCCAGCTGACGAGTCCCGAACAAGACGAAACGCGTGTCCTGGATTCCACTGCTAGCCACTATCCATCTTTGCCTAAAAAGCTTGTGACTTAAGACAATATTGAGGCAATCTGCCCAGGATGCACATATGCTAACAAGAGACTGATCAATTGCAGTCCGAAATAACAATGAGAAGATACAAGTAAAACAAAACCATGTGAATTTAAAGAATGAATATAAACTGGTAAGAACTTGAAAAGATTGCTCAAGACAGAGTTCGATGGAGAATGCTAATGGTTAGTCTATGCTTTTCGACGAGAGGTAAAAAGCGTAAGTAGTAATAAGATTCATAGAACACTTTACTCCGAACTTTAACATACATAACGCATAACAAGTAGCTTAGATTGATTCTATTTATTTGAAGAGAAGTTATTTTTTATCAGTTAGTTTGTTGTGTTGATAACTTTCAGTTGACTAGTGGATAATTTTTTGATTGAGATCATGGATCGATTGATTTTAGGTCACCACTGAATATTGGAAAGCACTGGACGGCCGATTCGTCCTATCATCGGACTCCTCAACATTGCGCATCCACGATCCCACACACGGGACTCGAAACCAAGACCTCTGGTCTTGTGCATCAACACTTAACCTTTAGACCACTGAGCCGGCTTTCAACGATGTTAATGTTCTGTGTTCGAATCTCGAGGGGGGCGTGTTCGTGGATGCGCACTACTGAGGAGTCTCATGCTAGGACGAAACAGTTGTTCAGTGCTTCCCGGTTTTACATGGTAGTCTAGCTTCAATTGACTCATGAATTCAATTACAATATTTTAGATAGTATAATGTTTATTTATATTTTCTTCTCAGACCGTATCCTCGATCCCTAATTTTTTTCTGTTACAATTAATACTAATACTACCTTTGCTACTATGGAATTTACCCGAAAAATTTCATCTTGCTTTTTCATGTCAGTATGGAAACTTGAATCGATGTAAACATGTGCCAGGTTCTACGTTGTACTTGATCAATTGATTGACTGATTGATGATCATATTAGAAATCTACATCATTATTTATATCACAATGGTATTTTAGTCAACAAAAAAAATGATATCAGATTGGTTTTGTGGATATTATAGTAATTTCAATGGTTGAGATCATGAATCAGTTGAAGTTAGGCGATTATAGAAAACCTGGAAGCACTGGACGACCGTTTCGTCCTATTGTGGAACTCCTCATCAGTGCATATCCACTACCTCGCCCTCCTTGCGAGATTCAAACCCAGGACCTAATGGTTTTGCACTCGAGCACTTAACCACTAGACCCACAATAGGACGAAACAGCCGTCCAATGCTTTCATGTTTTTCATGGTGGTCTAGCTTCAACTGACTTATGATCTTAACCATTGAAAAAAAATATTAGGTAGAACTTACCATAACACCAGCTAATACAGATATTGCTCTGCCACAATTTGTATTTGGCACCATATCACCATAACCAATACTTAAAAATGTAACAGCAATTAACCACATTGAATTTAATAGTTTCTCATATTCTTTATTTTGTTCTCTGATATAAAAGAATAATGAAATGTTCAAAGGTAAATTCGATTTGAATGGATAATAACCATGTAGAAGAATGAATTAACTATGATGTTGAGTTGTCTTTTTTTCTTTCTTTTTTATGCTTTTCATTGTCTTTCAGTAGATCTATTCTTTGGTACAATCGTTGACACTTCTACTCCATTGGTATATTTATCTATGGTGTTAATTCTCAACATTGTCTCAATACGATGTGAAGACTTGAACTCATATATATATCTACCAAGTTCTATGTATTGTCTATGATCAACTGAATTAATACTACTGGTCTTAGAACTGAACATCATCATCATCATCAAATGAAGCCATATAAGAGTAGAATGATGTTTTTCAAATACTTTTCGATAAGATTTATTGTCAGAATGGTGGTTTATGGAGATTGTTGTAACACTTTAATAGTTGAAGTTATGAATTGATTGAAGCTAGACTAGCATTGAAAACCTCGAAGCATTGGACGATCGTTTCGTCCTCGTATAAGACTCCTAAGCAGTGCGCATACATGATCCCGTGTCAGTTACAAGGTAGCCAATCTTTGAAAACAATATAGGATGGTCGCACAATATCGTAGGTCGATTGAAATTAGACACTAACACCGCTGGATGCCGGCTCACTGGTCTAGAGGTTAAGTTTTCGCTCGCGAGATCGAAGGGCCTGGGTCTAAGTCCCTTAGTTGAGGGATTATGAATGCGCATTACTGAGGATTCCTATACTAGGACGAAACAGTTGTCTAGTACAATTAGATATTCAATACTTCACATTACACTTTTGATGCAAAAAACTATGATATTTAGTACAGAAATAAGAAATAACTATTGTAATTCAGAAAAAAACCGAATCGAATATATACATATATAAATTACACAATGGTGGAAGCTTTGTAAAATTAACCAATTATGAGTAATATCGCAATGTTCATGGGTTATTAGTAGTATAATAACAAGTCATATGAAGATTATACTGAATCAGAATGACTGGGATTTAAGAGTCAATATGATTCATTACACTTCTCTAGTCCGTAAAGCTAAATGACATTCATACGAAGAACTAATATGAGAGAACATATAGCAGCTCATAGACGATTGAGTTTGTTTACATTTAATTTGGTTAAGCCGTTTTGTTAACTTATTTAACAGACAGAGTCATCCGTACAATAACAACTTATATCATTTTATCTTTATTATTGTTACACTTGTATGAGTATGTATTCTTGAGCATTGCTTTCTGACTACTCATATATTCACGCTGCTAGCCTTCTGGCGTGGCGGCGTTGGCTGTAGCGAGTGCTGTCGACGGAGAGGAGCAGTGAGACGTAGGGCTGCTGGGTGGACATCAGATGTAGATGGCTCAGCAGGCCGGTGGAGCACGGGTATCGAACGTCCCAGGTGCTAGGTGGAGGTCGGATGTTGGTACCCCGGCTGGTCGACGGAGCTATGGTGGTCAGCGCGCCGCAGACTCGACATTTTGACGGAGGGCTTAGCACAGACTGCAGAAAAGAAGAATGTTGCACGGCGCGCATGAACCAACGCAAGAACGACTGCCTTAAAGAGGGGATGAGTGTGGTGTGTGCTACTTATGTAGACATAAGCAGTATATGATGTTAGTCGTGAACAGAATGCCTGGCAGCAAGAGACAAGAAGACCGATCAGTAAAGAATGAGAACAGAACGCAATTCGTATGCAAATGCAAGAACAAAGGAAGTCTGAGTCATTTGAGACAATTGATGGATATTTTGCAAATTGAGTATTTATTATATGGTTGTTAGATTTTACTGACTAGTTCTGTAATTTGTTGTCAAATACATTCCACTGGTTCTCCACTGGTGTTCTGTTCACTACAGCCTAACTATTAGTCGCTTAATTGAGTCGATGATTCATTCATTTCACCATGTATATATGTGTACATTTTAATCATGTTCATTGACGCGACTCGACTCGATTCGATGACTCACTCACACATTCGCTCATTCGACTAGCACGCTCATTCACTTACCTGTTTTTTTATTTGGCACTACTCTTTCATGCTTGCTTAGCATACTTGTAAATTTGGATATCTGTGTGTGGTTCAATAATACACCGTTGTGATGTTATCTATTGACGGCTATCAAGACGAACTGTATACATGAGATCTCAGTATCTCACTATTATAATTGTGAAATCTTGTGAATATCATTTATGAATTTCAGTTAAGTTTCACCTATCTATAAAAAAATTATATACAGAATGGGGATTTGTGAAAGTTGAATTCATGGGTCAATCACCACTGAAAACCTGAAAGTACTAGACGATCGTTTCATCCTAATAAAGGACTCTTCAGAAGTGCGTATACTTGATTACATATAAAGGACCTTCAGTTTTAAACACTTAAACCGGTTCATGAACTCAATTAAAAAACTTAACAATCTCCACAACCCCTAAACTGAGAATCTCAGTAGGTTTGAAATAAATATTTCTCAAAATAAACAGTCTACTTATGAGTAGTTCAAGTGAACACTTAAAAATTAAACTAAAAAGACCAGGGAGCCCGAGAGCATAACTAACATTTTACAAGCATAAAACTATCGTTATTTTAACCGAATGTATCATGTAATTAAGCTTGAATTCTGTTAAACCTTAGTTACAATTTCGAATCTAGTCATGAATTTTAAGCACAGATATTAAGTTTATCGATCAAGGTTTTCAGTTTTGTTAAGAATATTGAATTTTTAACCATTTTAGAAAGTCAAAACAATAACCTCAGTAACAACAAGCTGAAAAATTAAATTAAGCTTGAATTTATCGTAGGATTCTTATTCATGGGGTGAGACTATAATTTATGGACGAACCAATCAGAGGCGTTTGAGCGATTTCAAGAACATGGCGCCAATTTCAGTACTCGATGCTCACGTACGACCGGTTTACAAAGGATTTGAAGGAAGACGTGTTAATTGAGAGGCTGCAACAAACGGGACTACTAAGAAGTTCTTTTATCTGTAGTTGTGGTAATCAAATCATTTGAGGACCTTATGAAGACTACCGTAATGATGTTATCTTTCGATGTAATATGTGTTGGAGGAAAACGTCTGCTAGAACAGGAACTGTTTTTCTCTCTATATGGATTAAAAATAATGCAAATTATGACAGTTGTTATGAACTGGATAATAGAAGCACTAGTAACACTGTCTGAAGCCTGGTACTGCAATACATACGGATGTTTAGAGAGCGTCTAGATGCCTACATAGACTTGGTTATGTAAATCATGTCATTATCCACAAGCGCCATTTTGTGGACCCTACAACCGGAGAGCGCATGAACAATATTGAATGGATGTGGTTGAGGTTGAAAGAGTTTTCGCGACCTTAGCATGGCTTGAGATGCCGTTTATTATGGAGCTAAATTGATGGTTTCTTCTACCTTATGCATTACGATTTTAGAACCCCTAAACCTCTCTCTAACTTTGACAAGTTTTTGAATCCTGTAAAAGAAGTGTGTCCACTTTAATTCTTTGGTTTTATTCCGTACCAACTGTTTTTTGTGGTTGACCAATATTTTGCAAGATTACTTAATATTCATTCAAAGGTCGTCCATAAATTATAGTCTCTTCTAATCTAACATGTGTGCTGGTTTGATATTTTGTTGTTATAACATTAACTACTCATAAGTAGCCAGATTTAGAAAATGAAAGAAATTAACATTTGTTTTTTATTATTTTCAGTATAGGGTTGTGGAGATTATTAACTTATTGATTGAGATCTTGAACCGATTGATGTTAGACCACCATTGAATACTTTGAAGCACGGAACGGCCGTTTCATTCTATTGCGTCGACTCCTCAGTAGTGCGCATCCACGATCCCGCTCGTGGAATTTGTGACTAGTGGAGTTATTCCGTATCGGGTGGAGACAGATAACTACCTCAGACAATAGAAGTTGGTCGCACAATTTCGTGGATTGGTTGAGATTAGACATTATCATTGTTGGATGCCGGTTCAGCGGTCAAGTACGTTAATTGTTCGCGCGCAAGACTTAACGCATGAGTTCGAATTCCACGAGCGGGATCGTGGAAGAGTCCCACAATAGGACTAAACAACTTTCCAGTGCTTCTAAGTTTTCAATGGTGATCTAATATCAATCAGTTCAAGATCTTAATCAATCATTTATTAATATCATCAATAACTTACCTTTCACAAACACGCATAATCCAACTTGTTACAATCCACATAGATAATATAAATATTAATAACATAGTACCGGGACATACTGTAGCTAATGTTTTTAATACAAATCTAACATTAATTTTCACACGATTTAATGCACCAATACTACGTGAACCAGCATCCGTAAACATAGTTGAATGTAATAATAATACACGAAATATTAAATATAATCTTAAAAACATTGGAACTGAAAATGTCAATTCTAAAATAATCATAGGTACAGGTTTATCATAATGAATATTATCATTATGATCATTTATAAATGGTACACTTGGAAATGGTAAATAATCATTGAATCTATGGGTATGATTATCTAATATGGAATCATATATTAATGTTGTTAATGGTCTATTATAATATGAATTCATTGTAATACTGGATGATGAGGATAACGACGATGATGATGATGACGAGGAGGAAGAGGAGGAGGAGGAGGAGGAGGAAGAGGATAATGTTGACGATAAGGCTTCTTGATCATTGAATATATCATCAGATTGTTTTAAATTTCTTAATGTTGATACAGTATAATATGAATTTCTATATGAATATATATTGTAATTCGATAGAATTGGTGGAGGATGTACAAGACATATAAATACTTCAATTAATGTTAATGAAATTTTTCTACAATTCATTGCTATACGCCAATCTTCAATACAATTATTAATACAAAATAACTAAAATAAGAAAGAAAAAAGAAAAACAGAAATGAGAATACTTTCATGATAAATGAAGAAGAAAACAAAAAAATTAAATGATTGTATATAAGCTACTTATATTCATATAAGTAGTATATAATGATAATCAAAATATTGAATGTATTTTAGTAGAAGATTGAGAAAGAAACAACAGGAACGGAAAGTAATTGGTATGAAAATACAGGAACAATGAAATTTGAGATGATGAATTAAGATTTGCTTAAAGGAATAGTCAAGTTTGAGACAATAGATTGATATTTTACAAGTTAACTCTTTACTTGATCGTTCTCAGATCTTAGTGAGATATTCTGTCATTTCGTGTTCGAATATATATCCACTTGTGTACTTGTTCACTACAATAGAAGGTAATGTATTGTTCAGCGATTCGTTCTGAATAATTTTAATTCTATAAAACATAGTTTATGGAGGCTGAAAGTATGTTTAAGTGTCATGGATTTCATCGTGGAAGCCTTTGAAGTGTTTCTAGTATATAGTAGAACCATCAAAGAAGATCGTAGTAACCAGTCTAATAAATGTTTAGCTTTGAGTCAAGTTCTGAAGGATAATGATAGTTTACATAGAAATTAGTTGATTAGAAGACTGAGAGGAACGATTAGACTAGGTTGTATCTAAGGATACCGATCTCTAAGTTGGGATTTATATGATAGTCATAATCTTCATTTGAAAACCTCAAGTAATGTAATTCACATTAGATAAAGTGAATATATTCAGTCTTTATTTTCACCAAAGAAATTAGAGTATTGTAACTATTGAGATTTGTTTGTGCGTATTGAAGTTGCGTTGTTTGACGCTACTAATTAGATTGTATGTGGATCAGAAAACTAGAGGGCTGGGCAGGGGAGTAGCACCCAAATGCCCTGGTACGGCCGAGAGTGTTAAGAATCCGCTCTCCCTCTCGAAATGCTCTCACATGGCCACGAGTATATAGCCTCTTCCAGTGAAGTCCTACTAACTGCCTTCTCGTGGCATTACTGTTGTTTACGAGATTGAGAGGACGAAAAGTGAATGTCCGGCGCTTTAACCGGATCCCAAACCAATGGTGTACATTGGCTGGCTCCAGTATCCTGAAGGAACAAATGGCTTATGAACCATTCGTTGGTCACCGGCTCCCATGGGACGGCATCTCCTTACGATGCTCCACTGCCTTGTGGATCAGAGCTTTAGGTCGAAGGCTCTGGGTGTGGCCCCCTAATGAAACCACCTGGTTCGGTTTTGGCACCCGGGCAGTATCACAGCCCTCATACGTATGAAATGAGATCTGTGTGGGGCATACATATTTGGTGCCTCCTTGTACCAATATCTATCTGTTAAAATAAATAAATAAATAGGGCAGTATAACAATTAGAACTACCAATTCTTAATGATTGCAAGTAATTATGGTTTATTTGTGGTTAGTAATAAAATCATTCATTCATTTTTAATCTCAATGACTATTAGAATGGTCATATGGATAATGTTATAAGTTCCGATTATTGATCTTCATTATATCAACCGTAATCAATCTACATCTAGATCCTACTCAGTACTATTCATTACCTTTAAAACTCCACCTGAAGCCCTTTTGGAACTACTCCCGGTCCCAAGCCCGGACAGAGGAGGAAGATTGAGCATGGGGTTAGCGACCCTGTCCTGTAGAAAACTAACTCGCTAACAAAACGCTAACCGGAAAAAATAATTCAAACCACTTAAACTCTTCCCTGGGAGTTAGAAGGTCTTCATTTAGAAGAGTTATGAAGTCTCATGGGTGAAAGCCGAGTTCCTTCGAAAGTCCCGAGGTTGATGCCCCTTTTGACAACCAGAGCAACCATTAATTTAGGTACATCGAGTGCTCGTACAATGTGGAAGGTCAGGAGAGTCATCCAATTTGCTGCAGAAATGAAAAGATACAACCTGAAGTTGCTTTAAAACTATACCCTTGACTTTTAATCTTTGATCAATATGGATATCATCATCAACTTGTATTGTATGAAGCTGAAGTATTATCATTTAGTGTTCATGGATATTGATACCAACTTAAACATTACTTACTTACGTCTGTTACCTCTTGTGGAAGAGCATAGGTCGCTCATTAGCAAGTTATAGTGTAGTGAACAAGAACACAAGTGAGGGACAATCGAACGTATTTGAACACGAAACTACAGAATATCTTAGTAAAATCTAAGAATCATACAGTCCATACTTCATTTGTAAAATGTCAATCAATCGTCTCAAACTTCAGTATTCTTTCATTTCCATATCAATCATTCTCATTCTATTTTCTTTGATCGTCTTAATCTTCTCAGTCCAGGCATTTTACTTTCGAGTGAAGATCTATACACTACTTATATCTATCGATACCAGTAGTACACATCACATAAAGTTACCTAACTAATTTCTAAACTTTCATCAATGTAAAACTTTTGAATAAATTTCATAAATGAATATATTTCAGTCATAGGAAACAGTAGGGATCTTGATGTTCCAGAAGCTCCGATACTAATCAACACTCTGTCATAGTTAGTAGTGTACATCCTTACTGTTGTTATTGGATGATAGATCTCAAAGGATTACTTAGTTAATTGAATATGAATTATGAGTATCATATGGAGACGAGTATTAGAGATTCTTTAAATAACCTTAACGAATTTGAACCCATTATTAGTAAATTAGCAAAAAAAAACAGTTATTGTGTGGTGTATGCTACTTATATCGTCATGAATAGTATATAACGATAGTTAGGATCAGAATATTTGTCAACAGAAGATCGAAGAAAAGTGAACCAGAACAGAGAATGATTGATGTAGAAATCAAGGAACACTAAAGTTTGAGACCATTGATTGACATTTTACAAGTGGAGTATTTACTGTATGGTTATCAGATTTTGACAAAACACATTACGTCAAGAAATAGAAGTGGATATGAAAGGAATGAATAAGAACTGGAAAGAGCTGAAAAGGATTGCCCAGAACAGGGTTGGATGAAGAATGCTGGTGAGGGGCCTATGCTCCTTCACGAGGAGTAACAGGCGTAAGTAGTAGTAGTAGTATCAGATTTTATTAACATGTTCTATAATGTTGTGTTCATATACATTCAGTTGTTCCCATTTGTATTCTTGTCCCGAAAATAGGGAGATTTGGTTGTTAAACTGGATACCATAAACAGCATTATATATGTTTTGATACACACAAACACACAATGAGAAGGAATAAACGTTCAAAACAAAACAACAACTCCAGCTACCTTAACAGTGACGGAATATAAGGATCTATCATCATTTCCATAGTGAAAAGTTGATATGGTGTAGTTAAAATTCTTAACTTTTAATCAATAAACCACAGGTTTACACCATATTTCATCAACTTAAATTATCACAGATCTATACTTATATCTTTTGTCCTGATCTAAAACGAAATGGCCTACAGATGAATACATAAGTTTTTACTAGATGAATGTTCGACTAGTGTAGGGGATAGTTGGAAGAATGTTAGGTATGGCTTAATCAGAACGTAGCATCAGTGCTTGAACTCACTAACTTCTAGTCTGAGCCATGTTGATAGATGCAGACTATTTGGTTGGGGTCCGTGTGACTATCATAACTGATGGTTGGAGACTCTTGGTCACATGGCTCACAATCGATCACAATGGCGTCACTTTATACCTTTCTATGAACTAATTCTTTCTTCCTGTATCATATCCTTATATGCAATCTTTCTTTTATATATTACCACCACCGAATTAACTAATTCTATAAATCTGGTGTTCATCTTGTTGTGCTAATGAGGTATGGCAACTTGGACCCATGTACATATATGCCTGGTCCTACATTGTAGCTGACTGACTGACTGACTGACTGACTGACTGACTAGATGTATGATAAGTACACACAATTTTCATATATGCTGTAGTATCGGTTGTTATGTTAATTCCACATAGCTTGTTCTAGCTTCCAGATAAGCCACCTTATCCATTCTCTTCAAGCTACATTCTAACCTAATTGATTATTCACATATCAACATTGACTGTTTTTAACTAAGCGTTTATATGTGCATTGCATTTCCTATTCATCACACGTTTCTAACTTATTTCTGTTTGACTATGAACATCTATTCACGCTTGGTTACATTTAGCTGGCTCGCTCGCCTTCACCATTGAGCGTCATTTTGTTTTGCTTCGCTTTTCGTTCAATGATAATACGTAGTATACATATTCAAAAATTCATTCTCGTTTGTGATTGACATAATTCCGTTATTTACTCACATGATCTAAGTCGATGATCATATACGAGGATCGATGGAATGTATCTTTCAATCACAATCAATCATACGATCTAATTGGAGTCAGATCTTGGGCCTCCAATACATACATACATATGTATATATATATATAAAGTATTCACAAAATGAAAATCTACCACCTACTTGTACATCAACAGCATGATAGACTAGTGTAAGACCAACTAGAATAAGTGTTGATGCACTGATCAATGATTTTACCAATATAGAATAGATTGATGTCTATATAAAAGAAAAGCAAAACAGAATAAATAAGAATGTAAATCAATATTTGTTTTATAATGTAAGTTCCGATTACGTAATCTATTCAATGTTTATGTTATATCAGTTTAGGGGTTGTGAAGATTGTCAAGTTTTTGATTAAGATCATGAATTGATTGATGTTAGACCACCATTGAAAACCTGGTAGTACTGGACAGTTGTTTCGTCCACGATCCCACCCTGCGAGATTCGAACTCAGGGCCTTCAATCTCACACGCGCGAACGCTTAACCTACTGGACCACTGAACCGGCATCCAACAGTGTTAATGTATAACCTCAACCAATCCACGAAATCGCGCGACCATCTTCCATTGTACTGAGGTAGATGCTTGTCTCTATCCGACATGGATTAGCTCCACTGGTCACGGCTTCTCACTAGAACTCCGAGAATTTTCTCACGAAATTTATGTTATATCCTAATGATGACTAAACTACGGGTAACTTCTGAGACCTATTAATGAACTAATATTCTATGTACACTCTTATGGTATAACTATTCAGTAATGAGATTGTGTATGTCTATGTTCCCCCCCCTATTATAAGTTTCCTTTTGACCTATAGATTATTGTTTGTTGATTACAGTCTCCCACATTCACAGCCACTGTTTGGCTTGATCTTGTATAAATGTTATTTCCTATTTTATGGTGTGATAGTAGAAGCTGGTGTTGGTGTTCTGAACTCAACTGAACGGGCAAGGTGAACAAAGAACCAATAAGGATGCTAGACTGGTCACACCGGTCGAACATCATTGGTTTTAGTACAGTACAAAAGTGAATAAATCGTATTTGGATTGACGAATCAATCACATAATAACAAGTCTAACTTTAAAGTCACAACAGTTTATATCTTACAAATGATCAGTATTCTTTGTTTGGGTACATTTCATTGAATCATTGGATCTGAATCGGAATCTTCAACGCGAATGTCAAGACAGTCCTATTATACTGAGCTGAAACTTGGAGAACTACTACAACCATCATCAAGAAAGTACAATTATTTATAAACAGTTGTCTATTATTCGTTAGTCGGATACCATCAACAACATCCTTCTGTGGGAGAAAACAAACCAGATTCTAGCTGAAGATGTAATTAGAAAAAAACGTTGGAAGCGAATAGGACATATATTGAAAAAATCATTAAACTATGTCACGATACAAGCCTTAACTTGGAATCCTAAAGAGAAATGAAAAGCAGGAAGGTTGAAGAACACAGTACTTTAGGAAATGGAAGCAGATATGAAATAGAGGAATGGTAACTGGAAGCGACTGGAAAGGATTCTCCAGAACAATGTTGGATGGAGAATACTGATGGGCGGCCTATGCTCCTTCACGAGGAGTAACAAGTGTTAGTAAAGTAAGTAAGTACTTAATTCATATCAATGTATGAATCAAAGAACAATTTGAATGGATTGACAGGTTGATAACTATTTGAAGTCAGTAATTTTAAGGTAAAAACTATGATGTAATACATTTAACCAATTAAAGTATCAAGTTCATTGAAAGGCATATTGTAATTTATAGTTCAGTTATAGTATAAACTTCATTTCCGATTAGAATATCCTACTATACCATCCATTAAATCTTGCAATAACTATGTAGTGTATGAACAAAGATAAATGGGATACAGGACGTGTGTTTCGTCCGACTTGAAACCTGTTAGCCAGATGTGCGTGCATCCCAGAGTTGATATTGACATCGGGACTCGAACTCAGTAACATCCGCTTCAAACACCATCGCGTTATTCACTTAGCTACTGAGTTTTAATACGCATCCACGTGTAAAAGAGTATGAATTCTAATTTAGTTTGTAATGGTCCTTAATACCCTGTCGTTGATACTTTAACTGAAATTAAACCACTTTTTGTTCCATTCTATATAAGAGTTGACAAATGCGCTTATCTTAGTATTCAACTAGATAGCTACTGTAATCAAGTCTAAGTATAGACAACGAGAACAACACTAGGGTGCAGCTACATTCAGTTGAAAAATCACAAGTAAGATGAAACGTGTATAGTTGATTTAAAAACTCATCACTATCTATCTAGATAGTGTATAAATCTAATGAAAATTATCTCAGATGAATATTGTGGATATTATAGTGATTTCAATGGTTAAGATCATGAGTCATTAACATCGCTAGATGCCGGCTCAGTAGTCTAGTGGTTATGTCCTCGCGCGCGAAACCAGCAGGTCCTGGGTTCGAGTCTCACAGGGGGTGGAGTCGTGGATGCACACTGCTGAGGTGTCCCATGATAGAACGAAACGGCCATCCAGTGATTCGAGGTTTCCCATAGTGGTCTAGCTTCAACTGACTCATTATCTTAACCATTGAAAATTAATCTGTTTGTCAAGATGTCTGTTCTAACGTTTTCATCACTGAATGGCTATAACTATCGAACAACTCAAAGCCGAACGGGACAGGAAATTTGTTTTGTCTTGATAAAGTATCCACAACTACAAGAGACAAAAACCAGGATCTTAAAGTTTTACAGCAAACAATTTATCTTCAGATCACTGGGTTGGAATACAAATATCTGCATTTCGAACTTCAATCCTCTACTGGAATCTGAAAACTATCAATGACTGCCCAGTTTTGAGGGGTTACCTATCCACCATTCGGTTCTTGATGTAAATCATGAAATTCAATGTTTATAGAAGCTTCAAACTAATATATATATATATATATATGGCTATTTGACTAATTTTATAAGCTTAACATAAAGATTCAGTACCCCACTTTACATAACTCCACCTGGAGTCCCTTCCGGGAGCTATTGCCGGTTCCAAGCACGGATATAGGAGGGGGGAGGGTTAGGCATGAGGTTAGCAACCCCATCCCGTAGAAAATCAACTTGCTAGTGAAACGTTAACCAGAAAAATAAATATATATATTCAAACCTCATTTGACATACCCTTAAATATACTTTAGCCATAATCATTTCTAATTCAAATACCATTAATAGTATACCCATAACAGCAAAAAATAATGAATAATCAGCTAATTTTCTACGTCTTTCATTAAATATTTTACGCCAATGTAAACGCCAACCAATTCCACGATTTGATGTTTTATAATTCATTTGTGGTTGAACTGAACCAAGTGGACCATTTGTACCATATAATGAACGTAAATCTTCTGCATTACGACGTATTTTTGCACGTATACCAATTGGTCTATTTATTTCATCATTATGATCTGTATCAAATAAATCATTTAGATCATGAAATTGTTCAGATTGTATAGATGATTTTTTACTATTATAGATCATTGGTTGACATTCATTATTGATTAGATTACGGAATTCTTCACTTTGTTGTTGGTGTTCTTGTTGTTGTTGTTGTTGTGGTGGTGGTGGTGGTGGTGGTGGTTGTGGCGGTGGTTGTTGTTGTTGTTGTTGTTGTTGACGATAAGATTCATATTGATTATCATCTTTTCGATTGATTTGTTCGAATTGATCAAATTGAGATATTGGATCTATTGAATGATATGAATATTCATTATGATCATTCTCTTCATCTGTATTTAATATTGGTGAAATAGCAATTTTTGCTGTATTTCTAATAATTGCTTGTTTAATACTTTGAGGTATTAAATGATGATCTGTTTTGTTACTATGACTACTATTATTATTATTATTTTGAGTAGTATTAGTATTAGTAGTAGTGGTAGTAATAGTAGTGATCGTAGGAATGTTACTTCCATCATGAGTAAGTCGATTACTATGAAGAAGATTATCAGTTTCATTCATTGAATAATGAGCTTTCTGTCGATGAGTAGCATTTTGATGATGGGTAAAACTGGTTACTAAAACAACAACAAAAAAACAACACACACACACACAACAAAAACAAAGCAAATAGGTATGATTAAATTGCTAACAAATAAAAAAGAAAGAAAATTCGGCAAAAATTATATCGATCTAACTTGGAAGATGTTTAGAACCTTTACATATTTGGGCAGTATCATTGATGAACACGGTAGATCTGATACAGATGTAAAGGAGCGGATCAGCAAATCAAGAGTAACATATCTACAACTAAACAATATCTGGAACTCAAAACAATTGGCAACCAACACCAAGGTCAGAATTTTCAATACAAATGTCAAGACAGTTCTACTGTATGGGGCGGAAACTTGAAAACCTACGAAAGCCATCATCCATAACATACAAGTATTTATTAACAGTTGTCTACGTAAAGTGCTTCGGATCCGTTAGCCAGACACTTTAAGCGAAAACCTACTATGGGAGAGAACAAACCAGATCCTAGTGGAGGAGGAAGCGCTGGAAATGGATAGGACACACATTGAGGAAAACACCCAACTGTGTCACAAGGCAAACCCTCACTCAGAATCCTCAAGGCCAAAGGTGAAGAGAAAGACCACATTACGTCGAGAAATGGAGACAGATACGAGGAGAATGATCAACAATTGGATAGAACTAGAAAGGAAGACCCAGAACAGAATGTGTTAGAGAATGTTGGTCGGCGGCCTATACTCCATTGGGAATAACTGGCGTAAGTATGTAAGACTCTTACTGGTTTTTGTTGATATTTTAATCGGTTACCATTAGGTTATCTAGTCTTAGGTTTAAGAACAATAAATATGTTCATATAAATTATATTGATCAATTAATTAATTTAGTGTAATTTTATTATCGACCCAGCCAATCAGAATCAAGTTAGAGATTTAGTTTTTTTTGTGGCGGAAATTTAAAACTAGCGCTACCTGGGGTGAGACTGTAATTTATGAGAGAACCAATCAGATTTACGATAATAAGGCTTGAATTTTGGCACAAAACTAATTCATACATTTGGTTAAAGAGTTTTGGCATTATAGTTGATTTCAATTTATGATGAAAAGCCTATAGTTAATTCCTAACCTTCAATAAGTTATTGATTTCCTGACGATTTATTTTTGAGTAATGAAGGGTCATCAAGCCTTTCAAGGCCATTTCTAGACTCGCTTATAATCGATGATTCCGAGTCCGAATCTCACTCGTAGGATCATGAATGCACACTGCTGGAGAGTCCTATACTAGGACAAAATAACCGTCCATTGATTCCAGATTTTCATTGGTAGTCTAACATGGATCCATTTATGATATTAATTTAAATTATAAATCAAAACACTATAATAAGTTGATATGAAACTGTATGAATGAACAGAAATTACAGCTAATTAATGAATAAAATGGATATTGTTCAATAAATGAAAATATCGGGATTTCATGAGGGGAAGTTAATTATCATGATAAATTGATATTCATCTGAATGAAACATTCATTCAGTTCTCTTTGATTTCGAATAGTTACTTAATCAATGTTTATATATTTTATTTAAACACATAAACATTGATACAAGGAAGTATCAGATAGATATGTGTCACATAAATTATTCGATTTGTGTGAGGGTTGATTTTCTTAGGAGGTCAAACCCGGAGCCTTTGACCTAGAGGTCTAGTCCACAAAGCAGTGGAGTAACATAAGGAGATACAGTCCCATAGTAGTCAGCGAACAACATTTGTTTTATACACTATTTGTTCTTTTATGATCCTTGAGCCCATGTACACTATTGGTTTGGAATGACGGTTATCCAACTCTTATAGGTGGATCCGCCAAATCGACCTACTCGGTTAAAGTGCCAAACATTCGCTTTTCGTCCTTTGAATTTAGTAAACAATAGTGATGCAGAGAGAAGGCAGTGAGTATGACTTCTGTGACAGTGGTTGTATACACATGGCCATGTGACACCATTTAGAGAAGGAGAACCTGTCTCTCCCCACTTTCGTCCGTATCAGGGAGCTGGTGGAAGTGCCGTGTTATGTATTTATAGACATATTAATCATCAACAACATCACACTACTAGTAATTCTTAAGAAAATAGTAGTATATATGTATATATATAAAGAATATATTGTTAAACTTACTCAAATTCCTTTTTGATGGAGTAAAAATTGATGTACTTAGTTCACGTAATGTAGATAATGTCATTCTATTCTTTTTACTACTATTAGTAGTATAATCATTTAATTTAAAATTTTCAGGATTAATTATATTTGATTTACTATAATGATGATGTTGATGATGATGATGATGATGATGATGGTGATCATTATAATTATATTGTCGTAATTTCACTTGTACTCTATCCGATGTCTCTCTACTTAATGTATGTTTATCATATGGAGATTTTTTTGGTTTATGCGTACCAGATGCCCATGCTAATGCTAATGCACCAATATGTGCTTCACGTTCTAATAAATTATCTGCTTTCATTTCATCTTCTTTTTCAAATGATGATTTTAAATTTTCACTTAATCTATATTCACTTAAATGAGTATCATATTCATAGATATTCCCATTCCCATTCTCATTCCCATTACTATTATTGTTGATATTCATTGTACCAATTATAGAGTTCATATCATTCTTATTCTTTATATTATGATCATCTTCATGTTCCATAGTTGAGGTATTGAATTGTTCATCATGTTTCATTGTATCACTATAATGTCTTGGATATAAACAATGAATAGTTGATTTACGACGTATAATGATAGCATTCTCTGGTATATTAATATTCTCATTTGGATGATGATGTTGATGTTGTTGTTGTTGTTGATGATGATGATGATGACGCATTAAAGATGATTCATTTCGATCATGTTGTTTATATCTATTAGTAATATGCTCTGTAGCAGTTCGTTTCAATTTGTATGAGGATCTAGGCATCATCTCTGTCGTATCATTATGACTACTACTACTACTACTACTACTATTAGTAGTAGTAGTAGTACTAGTAGTAGTATTAGGGTCAGTATATTTCTGTTGAAGTAATTTTGTTTGACTACATTGATTATTTGATAAAATTGATGATCTTGATTGTTCTCTTATTTCAAATCTGCGTAGTTCATTATCTAATAAGTCATTTTGATGCATCATTACATCATCATTATCATTACAATGTTGTTCATGAGGATCATTGATTCTAGAACAATTATCGATTGATGTATTGATTATTGATTTTAATGAACAATCATATTGTTCTTTAAATGTTTGTAAATCATCAATTTGAATTGATTGTTTCAATGGACTATTCATTGAAGTAGTATTAGAAGAAGAAGAGTTTGTTATTCCTTCAATAGGTTTGAATGATGATGAAGATACTTCAATGATTTGTTGATGATTACTATTATCAATCTTCAAGTTATGATGATTAGTATCAACATCTTCATAATTTGAAATAATAGATTTCCAACTTCCACTTGTGGAATGTTTAAAATCATCAACATTTTCTAAAAATTTTGTAGAACCAACTGATTGAAACATTTCAATACTATCTGTTTCTGTACTTGGTTGATGATATAATAAATAGGAATAACGTTTAAATCCTCTTAAATCATAATCATCTAGTATATTATGTTGAGGTTTATCAGTTGGATTTGAACATTCTAATTTAGATTCAATTGATTGTTCTATTCTTTTTTCTTCTTCTTCTTCTTCACCTTCTACTTCTTTTTCTTTTTCTTCTTTTTCTTCTTCTTCTTCTTCTTCTTCTTCGTCGTCTTCGGGTTCTTTCATTTTTTCATCCATTTTAAATGATTATTAAATTGAATAGTGATTAGTTCTTGAAAGAATATAATCATTTGTAAGTTATGATTACAATCAATTGATTGATTCTAGGAATTAAAGAAAGAAATACATTCATTGAACCAGTATACATGTATTAAATAGTGGAATGTAGTTCATAACCCTTAATTCCCCCTCCGTACATGATAGTGGATTCTTAGTAACTAAACTCATTTGTAATTTGTAGGGTATTGATTTTTTATCAGAAACGGTTTTGTGGAGATTGTAGTAATTTCAATGATTAAGATCATGAGTCAATTGAAGCTAGATCACCATGGAAAACCTAGAAGCACTGGACAGCCGTTTTGTCCTATTGTGGGACTCCTCAGAAGTGCGCACCCGCGAACTCACCTACTGCGAGATTCGAACCCAGAACCTACTGGTTTTGAACGCGAACACTTAACCACTATTGAAATATTTGAACCGGAATCGACATTAATCAATATCGGTCGATCATAAGTTAATGATTAGTTAGTATAGAGTCAATTTTAGAATATGTAACTGTTTCATAAGGAGATCTATCAACTGAACAGTAAAAAGCTGTAATCAATGATTATGAATAATAGTTGTGCTAATAACATATTCTGATTGAAATCATGAATCCATACTGTTGGACTTCAACTTTATAGTTAAAGATTCTTCACAAGATCTAAAAACTAGGATGAAATAGTTGTCAAGTATTCACTGATTCTTAATGGTTAATAACCCGACTAAGATAGATACATTACGAATATCACCTATCTATGTGTATACATGCATGATTTCATCTGTTTTTGAACTGTACATGAAACACTTCTATTCTGACATAAAGATGAATAGTCTAAGATGGTAACAATGGTATGATCTTAAATTTACCCTATGTTAATATTTAGGATTGAATTTTGATCAGTTCTTATTGGCATATTTACATTCTATGTGGATTGCATCGATTAAGGTATATCTTCTTGATAAGTTTCAAATAAGACAAAATGATCTTTATAGATCTTACTGTTATGTAAAGTTCATCTATTCTAAGCCTTTTGAAATAATTTGTATTATATATTGAGTTCAACTGAGAATTATGGAAATTTTGTTTTGTCCAAGTATATCTACTCATGATTCTTTCTAGTTTCACAGAGAACATGTTACTTTTAAGCTATTGAGTTAGAATTTAATGCTCTATAATTCTAATTTCAAACATTAGAGACTAACTAGTATCATATAAACTCTCATATTAGTTGAAATCATGAGTCAATTGAAGCTCGACCACCATGAAATACCTGGAAGCACTGGATGGTGGTTTCGTCCTAGTGTGGGGCTCTTCAGAAGACTGCATCCACGATCTCGCACCGCGAGAGATTCGGACCAAGGACCTGAAAGTCTCACATGCCAGCGCTTAAACATTAAACCAGTGAGCCGGTCGGCATCCGACAATATTAATGTCTAACTTCAACCAATCCACGGAATTGTGCCACCGTACACCATTGTCTTCAGTAAGCTGCTATTTCATAACAGACCTGGTTGAACTCCAGGAAACCCCTCTTGAAGTCAGTCACTAATAAGCAGATGATTAGAAATTTCACTAGTTGAAATGATGAGTCTAATAATTAAGCGCTCACGAGTGAGACGGATTGATCCTAGGTTCGATTTCCGCGGGGGAGGGGGCAAGATCATGAATGCGCACTGCTAAAGAGTCCCACAATAAGACAAAACGACTATCCAATACTTCCAGATTTTTCATGATGATCTAACTTCAATTGATTCATGATCTTAACTATTAAAATTATTATAATCTCCACAAACACCCCCCCCACTTCTGAGACTAATAAGTATTTGTTTCAATAATACACTAACAAAGTAAATCATCATACTTTTCTTGTAAAGAAGTAAACAAACAAACAAACAAAAAAACTTGTATATTTCTTTCATTTTTCCAAGTTTTACAATCAAACATATGTACTTCAATGAAAAACATGACAGCTTTTCTTTTCTCTTCTTTTTTTTCTTCTTTATTTATTATCTCTTTCCATTTCTTTTTTTTTTTACATTTGTACTATGTAATTGTTATTATGTCATAACTATTCTTACAATTCAATAGTGAAATCATAATCTAAATCAAGGTCATTAGAAACTATGAATATATAATGATATAATACAAATTTTATATTTGACATATTTAACAAGCAAAAAATAAAAAAAAACAAACAAACAAGAAAAACAACAACAACAACGACAACAATAATAATAAGAATAAACCGAGTCAATATTCTCAAGGTGAATTGAACATTGACGGTGAATGAGAGAGCGACAGGGGGGGGAGAGGGAGGAGAGGCAGGAGAAAGAGGGGTGGGGAGAGAGAGGAAGAAACAAACAAAAAAAAGAAAAACCCGTAAAGAATCTATGTAACTAAACAAAGTGAAATGATATTTTTCAACAAAAATAAAAGAAAAGTAATAATAATACTAATAAAGTTTTCACTTAAGAATATTTGAAATAGAATAAACCTTTCGTTAATGTTAAATGTTAAAATTCATTGTCTGTGAATTATAAAAAAAAACAAAGAAATAAAAGAAGAAGAAGAATCTAGATATTTTGTTACCATCTTGTATAAAAAAAGAAAATATTTCTTTATTTTCTTTTTTCTTTTCTTTTCATTCTTTTCTTTTTTTTTCTTTTCTTTTCATTCTTTTCTTTTTTTCTTTTCTTTTCATTCTTTTCTTTTTGTTTTTTAAAGGAAAACTAATGATTATTCTTATTGAATCTTATTAAAGTACAGTATAATTTTTAGATAAAGAAAAAAATAACAAGATTATGGTTTATCAATGAACCAATCAGATTGAAGATAATAGATCTAGGATTTTGGCGCGAAATTTATTCATTCAATTGAATGAATTAAATTTTAGCATTATAACTGATGTTAGTTCGTGATATAAATCATAATTCGAATTCCTTACATTAGTTTATAACTTTTATTTGGTCTTAGTTACTAAGTGGACACTCTCAAGGTCATTTTAACATCTCTCAAAGATTGTTCATAAATAATGGTCTCAGCAGAAAAAATTTTATCTATACTGAGAATAATGAAATTATGTTGATTAGTTCAATGTTTATTTTTAATCTTATTGGCTTCATAAATGTGTAAATGATACACTAGATTAGATGGTGGTTGAAGGTAGTCAACAGGAAACCCTGAACCCATGTATGTCAGGAGTTTCTTAGTTCAAATCGAATCTTATCGACTATGTTGTAATGTGGCTACTCGTCTAAGTGATTCGACATTGTGTGCACTATATTAAGATAAGATGTTGTTTGGTGATAGTCGATAGAAAACCCTGAATCTAGGTTTCGTGCTATTTGACACTAGTCAACAAGATGTACCTGTAATCTTGAAAGAACAGCTACTCCATGACAGATTCGACCTCGTTTCACAGAACGTGAGTATTGTTGCCTTTACTTCACAGAATAAAAAATAAACAAAACAAATCTGTTTGGTACTTATTATTTTGAGATTAGATGGTGGTTGGAGTTAGTCAGCAGGAAACCCTGGACCCTACCTCTAAACACCATCTAATCTCAACATGATGCACGCAATGTCGAGTCACTTAGACTAGTGGACGCATTCCAACTTGGTCGATAGCATTCGATTTGCACTAAGAAGGATTTGACACATATGATATTGATCACCACTCAGTGATCAATCAATTGTGATACACCAGTTTAAAATAAATAAATATATATAGAGAGTATTATTATTATTGTGGAGATCAGTGGTTCATACTACTTAAATCGACGTAAGTAGTATATAACGCGAGTTAGGAACAGTATGACTGGCAGCAGAAGATCGAGAAGGAAAGAATGAGAACAGAAAGCAATTGGTATGAAAATGAAGGAACGGTGAAATTTGAGACGATTGATTGACATTTTACAAATGAAGTATTTACTGTATGGTTCTCAGATTTTACTAAGAGATTCTGTACTTTCGATTGTCCTGTTATATCCCAATAAGAATAGTGAATGGTGATTTTTGGGCTCCAATTATGGACCGATATTATGAGTATATTTTTATCACATAATTGTTACGTAAGTAATCTGTTCGTATCCATGTCCCTCTTATTATGGGTTTTATTTTGACCTATGAACTATTATTATACGATTTACCATTCTTGAGTTATGCCCTATCTATTAATTCCTATCTCCCTCATTTACAGCCACATCTGGCTAATTCTTGTACAAATGTCGTTTCATATTTTATTAGTACGTTGTGGTCTTTCTGGTTGGTATATAAACCGAGTGTGTTTGAAATATAATGATTCATATCTCCGAGGCTGAGACTTCTGTTCTGGACTCAACTGGCAGGACTAATCAGAATTCTAGGCTGCTCGCTCGTATTTTGTGCGCCACTGTTTCAATCGATAATAATCTGCTCTCTAATAGGCGGATCACAAGCTATAACATGTCCCCACTTGTGTTCTTGTTCACTACGACCTTACTTAAGGTGGTGCAGTGAACGAGAACACAAGTGAGGGATAATCAAATGTATTTGAACACGAAATTATTGAATATCTTAGTAAAATCTGAGAATCATACAGTAAATACTTCATTTGTAAAGTGTCAATCAATTGTTTCAGACTTGACTGCTCCTTCATTTTTACACCAATCATTCTTCATTCTCTTTTCTTCGATTTTCTTAACTTTCTATCGCCAGGTATTCCACTTTCTATTGATGATACATATTATTTATATCTGTCGACATCAGTAGAAGACAATACAGTACCATTGAAAAACAGCGAGCATTGAATAGCTGTTTTGTTTTATTATGGGACACTTTATATAATTGAATCTGAGTAAGTTTTAGAGATTTTCATGGGTGATTTCAGTAGCAATTAGTCTATTGATCATTTACATGGGTGTGAATTTCGGTTGTTGTATATTTCAATCCTACAGGGAACATCAGTTTCTTCGATGATGCAAGTATGCCTGTAGTGTAAGCAGCTTATGTCGACCTACCTAAGTAGTAAGTAACACCAATCGGAAATGAAATGCATGGCAGCAGAAGACTAAGAAGATCGAGTTAAAGGAAATCGAAAGGAAAATAGAAAAGAATCGTGGACTCGCAGAACATAACAGAATGTGGGGAAAAAACGATGAAAAGCAAAGATGGACGGTGGCTTGCAGCGGAATTCAAGAAGCGTTTTTTGTCCTATTTGGGACTCGTCAGATTATAATGTGTGTGACTTAAGGAAATATCGAGGCAATCCGCACAGGATCCACATATGCAATTAAGAGACCGATCGATTAGTCTT